GAGGGTAGATGGCAAAGGCAAGCGTTGGCTAGGGACAACTCACAAGCTAGAGCGCGGCAAGCCCTTCTACCTAGACCCTGCTCGCCGCCACGCCACCACTCCCTGGAAGGGTGAGAGAGCAGTGCTTGTCGCTTACACGTCAACACGTTAGGCAAAGAGCTTGAGCACGAGTTTCAAAGCCTTGAAGCTCTAGGTTTTCCACTTCCAGCATCGGTACGTTTACCGCTGACCGAGCAGCAAGACGTGAGACGTTTGGATGCGTTTGAGTGCTTCGAAGAAGAGCCCCTTCAGGAGGTAGAAGCACGTCATCCTGACGGGAAGACCTCAGGGTTAGCGTTTGGGAGTGTGCTTAAGGGCGGAGGTTGGAAAGAAACCCAAGCCGTAGAAGCAGGTACTGTAGAGCTAGAGGTTTCGTGGAACCTAAAGCACACGCCAGACCAACAGCGAACGCAGTCGCAGCAAGCACTACTGGCTTTCCAACCGGCCACCGAAACACAGGTTGAGGAGGAGGAGGGCTTAAGCGAACACTCGTTGCCTGAGCAGCCTGTGCTGTGGGAGCTGTGGGTTCCAGACCCCCAAACAGGTGAGCAGCTGTGTGTACTCCGGTCTGACGACTCGGACGCGAGTGAAGCGTGTGCGCTTTGCAAGTCTGAGCCGGTGTACACTCCAAACGTAGAGCTGTTGCTTGACGGGTTGCAAGAGCCGCTGCAGGTAGTCCACACTGTAGACCCTCGAGATGCAGAGCAATGCATCGAGAAGTGGATGCCGTCCATTCACAAAGAGATCGGTGTCATTGAGAAGGCTGTGCGGCGACTGCCTCCTGCAGAGGTTCGTTCGGGAGGTTGGCTAAGGGTTCCGTCTAAGTTTGTGTTCACAGTCAAGCCACCAGAGAATGTTGAGGGTGACGCTGCCTTCGCTACCCGAAAGGGTCAAGCTTGCCACAAACGCAAGGCTCGCTTGGTTGCTTGTGGCAACCACGCCCCAGGCACAGGTTCCGAAGTCTACGCTTCAGGTGCTGCTGCAGAGACACTCCGTTGTTTCGTAATCATCAGCTCCAAGAGGAAACGGTGCATCGGGTCTTTAGATGTCACCTCAGCTTTTCTGCTGACCCCGATCCCGCAAGGCAGAGGCTTTCCAGTTTTTGCTCTCACGCCGCCGAGGTTGCTAGTGAGACTAGGTTTGGCAGAGGAAGGCGAGCTTTGGATCGTCACGCACGCTGTGTACGGGTTGAGGGAGTCGCCTAAGCTTTGGTCGGACTTCAGGGACTGCCAGCTTCGAGCGTTGAAGTGTGTCGTGGACGGAGTTGAGTTGCAGCTCCAGCAAGGAAGGCTGGACCCAAACTGGTGGCGTGTTGCTCGCACCTCTGACGGGGTTGTCGTAGGAGGGTTGCTTACCTACGTCGACGACTTTTTGCTTGCAGGCAGTAAAGAGGTGATCGCAGCCTTGGCTACGGCCATCCAGGGCATCTGGAAAACGACGCCTCTCGCACTTGCCACCGCAGAGCACCCGCTGAGGTTTTAGGGGGTGAAATCCTAGTGCAAGGTTCCGGGTTTGTGTTGTCCCAGCAGGCTTACGCCGAAGAGCTGCTGCGTCTCAACGACGTGAAGCCCACTGCACTAGGTAAGGTCCCCTGTTCGCGTGACCTTGTTTCGTTTGACACTCTCCTGACGGACGAGTCCCCAACCGAGGAGACCGTTCGAACAGCACAGAGGCTGACTGGAGAAATCCTGTGGCTAAGCCAACGCACTCGGCCTGACTTAGCTTTCACTGCTTGTGTGCTTGCCTCTCTCAGCACGAAGGCGCCGCAACGAGCCATCCGCATTGCAGAGAAGGCCCTGGCGTATGCGCAGCGTACCAAGGCGCTGGCTCTCACCGCTGATGCGGATGACACAGGATTGATCGCGCACAGTGATGCCAGCTATGCGCCGGAAGGGAATCGTTCTCACACGGGGTGGGTGGTTTTCCTTCACGGGTCGCCGGTGTGCTGGCGTTCAGCACGACGGTCTTTTGTCACCCTCAGAAGCCGAGCTTGTTGCTGGACTTGACGCTGTAGTTGCCCTTCAGTCAGCAGAGGCCATGCTGGGTGAGTTCGGGGTTTCTAGCTTCGACAAGACTTTGAGGGTTGACTCACAGTCTGCACTGGCCATCGCTATCGGCCAAGGGTCTTGGCGAACCCGCCACCTAAGGGCGCGCGCCAACTACCTTCGAGAGCAGTATGAGTCTGGTGAGATCATCCGTGTTTACTGCCCAGGAGTTGAGCAGGCCGCAGATCTTCTGACGAAAGCACTGCCATCTGCGAGGATCCTTGAGCTCGCAGCCATCTGGGGTTTGCTTGAGCATGGCGTACCTCGCCGGGCGGAAGCTCAGGCCTACGGTGAAACTCAAGCTGTGGGCACTGGGACCGTGGCGCAGCAAGACCTGCAGCTGAGTGCCTTCGCTGTCCTGCTCGCCTTCTTTCAGGTCGTAGGTGCTGCCAGCCAGACAACGGAAGAGGAAGAAGACTTGTCTCTCCCCGTGTCGCTTGATGCAGATATGATGTTGGCAATATCCATCATCTGCATTGGTATCTGCTTCATTGCAGTGTGGGAGTTCTTCAAGTGGTGCCTTCAAGGCGTCATCTCCCGCCGAGAGGCAGGGACACCCGTGTTGTCTCTGAGCCCTCGCAAGGCGCGCAAGTTACAGCGCCTTCGAGATCAAACTGCGCAGGCCATCCAGGCCGAGATCTCTGCACGTGAGGAAGCAGCAAGCTCGCAGTCTGTTGCTGCAGCGCCCAGACGCCGCCCCTCACAAACAACTCGCACGCGTGAGCAGGCAGGTGGAGCACCAACGCGTTACTTTGCAACACCCGAAGGGACCAAGCTCCACCGCACTAAGACCTGTTCCACGCTCGCCCACTCGCACAGGTTTGTTGAGTTTCAAGTGTGCCAGCAGTGCCACGGCAGCGCTGCAGACCACACCCAGCACAGCACAGGGTAGGAACTCCTCCGCCCTAACGGGTTGGATCTCTCAGTGAGCTCATCCGTAGCTGTGTCTTTTTCCTACACGAGGTGCCTTGAGAGCCCTCGCATAGTGAGGGCAGTTGGCCCAGCTTTTGCCAGGTAGTTCACGGTAGGTGTGTCGTCACCCTGACGGGTTGGACCTGCAGTAGCAAGTAGGTCGCAACTCCCTGGCGGGGCTGCGAAGGAGGAGTGCTGAAGTGCATGCCTCGTTTGCAAGCCTTTGCTATGTGTACATGCGGAATCTTTTTCCTTGTTGCTCTTAGGCCCAAGCACAGAACGCCTTGAGCATGACATTTTAACAACACATGTACCATAGCTGTAGGTGCCAAGCCCAAGTAGCACAGACTTCTTTTGCTTGCTTTTGTTCTTGTGCGTAAAATCTCCGCCTTGTGTGAGCTATGGCAGGGTTGAGTTTTGCAGGGGACCTGATCACTCCACTTGCATCCTGCACTCAACCTGCTGGCTCACTCCAGCAATTACTATTACTATTACTATGACTATTACTATTACTATTACCATTACTATTACTATTATTATTACTATTACTATTACTATTACTATTACTATTACTATTACTATTACTATTACTATTACTATTACTATTACTATTATTATTACTATTACTATTACTATCACTATCACTATCACTATCACTATCACTATTACTATTACTATTACTATTACTATTACTATTACTATTACTATTACTATTACTATTATTATTACTATTACTATTACTATTACTATTACTATTACTATTATTATTACTATTACTATTACTATTACTATTACAATCACTATCACTATTACTATTACTATTACTATTACTATTACTATTACTATTACTATTACTATTACTATTACTATTACTATTACTATTACTATTACTATTACTATTACTAGTACTACTTTACTACTTTACTACTTTACTACTACTACTTTACTACTACTACTACTACTTACTACTACTATTACTATTACTATACTATTACTATTACTATTACTATTACTATTACTATTACGATTACTATTACTATTACTATTACTATTACTATTACTATTACTATTACTATTACTATTACTAATACTAATACTAATACTATTACTATTACTATTACTATTACTATTACTATTACTATTACTATTACTATTACTATTACTATTACTATTACTATTACTATTACTATTACTATCTGCTGCTGCTACTGCCATTGCTACTGCTATTGCTACTGCTATTGCTACTGCTACTACTATTACTACTACTATTACTACTACTACTACTACTACTACTACTACTACTACTGCTACTGCTACTGCTACTGCTACTGGTAAAAGTGGCGCACCGCCACTTGAGTTAAACCCTGGGTAGGTCCCAGGCTCCAAAGGAGGCCTAGCTGCTTTACCCCAAAACCCTAAACCCCACCAAGCGCAGCGGGCTTTGTTTTCCGGCGCGGCTGGCCGGTACGCAGCAGTGCAGGTCTGCGCGAGCGGTAGAGCTCGGCAGCTGTACGGCAAGGGCTCGCAACTAGCAGTGGCAAGTGCACCAAGCACTGCGTTAGTAGTTGCTTACCTTTCAGCGTATGGCTAGGAGTTCTAAACTAGGGCAGCAGCAACCCGCAATGGTTGCCGCTTGACTTGGCAAAAGCAGCTGCGCGTAGGAAGCTAAGTAAGCATGCAAGACGAAGGATGCGGCGTGCTTCTTGCACAGGCACAGCCCCTTTCACTACTCCTCCTCCTCCTCCTCCTCCTGCTCCTCCTGCTCCTCCTGCTGCTGCTGCTACTGCTACTGCTACTGCTGCAGTTGCCGTTCATCTGAATTCGGCTGCGCTTATTGAGTCGGAGCTGAGCATTACCCTGAACGAGATTTGCCTAGAGTCGGAGCCTTGGCAGCACCATGACTGCTAGTGGAAGCCTTGCAACTTGTGGTTCTGAAGAACTCGGTTGCGATCAGCTAAATGCCGAAGTTTCTGTAGGGACGGGGACGAGCGCTGCCCTGTGCAGGGGACGATCTGGATCTCTTCAGTCTCTGGCGAGCTGCAATGATCGAGGTGTTTTGCTGATGGCTGAATTGTACACCTGCACAGCACGCAGAGCCCCAAGGGCTCGAAAGAGGGGCCGCGGGGTTTTGTGTGAGAGAAGAAAAGACGCGTTGAGCGCTCCCTTCAAAACGCCGCGGGGAAGAGAATCTTCGTTGGCGGATGCAACCACACAACTCAAGAGAGCATGCTGCGGCGCAGTGCGGCCTGCAGAATTCGGAATCTGCCAGGTCCGAGTCCGGCAGCGGCCGCTTGGCCTTTGACTCCGCCCGCTTCTGCACGCAGCCCAGCCCGGCAAAGGGAGGGGACCGACGGGCGACGTTTGTGCTGTGGTGTGACGCGTTCTCTGGCCTCTGGGGAAAGATAAGCTCAAGCATTTTTTGAGGCAGCTCTGCAAGAGCCGGAGTCTCATTTCTTGCGCAAAGGCCACAAGTGCCAGCGGCGCGCCCTTGAAGCACGCAGTGAGCTCCTTCCCTCAGGCGCTGCTTTGGGAGCTGGGCCAACGGCAGACTTCCAAGAGTTGCATCTGGTCAGGTTGCTGTGGCGGAGCTCCAGGGCCAACTCGAGGACTCCGAGGCTTCCAGCAGTCCAGCACGAGCGGAGCATGTGGGGCCGAAGCAAGGTCATGAGGGGATGTTGGGATCTGCAGGGCAGTCGGCTGATCTTCTTCGAACGGACGTTCAGAACCTTCCACATCAAGGCTGGCGGAGTGGAAGTTCACGTCTGCCGTGCTCACGTCAAACGCTGCCGCTGCTTAGCCACCCAAGAGTGCAGCGCATTGCTTCGCAGCTCTGGACAAGAACCTGGAACCTCTATGCTATGCAGTCAAGGCTTCCAGACCTCATAAGACCCTAAACGGTACCCGTAGAGCAAAATAGCAACATGTTACTTCCGTATTTCCTTATGTGTTCCCTGTTGAAGGGTAGCTCAGAGCACCAGACGGCAGTCGGATGGAGAATGGCAGGCCGGGCCATCGCAATATGCCTTCTGCGTGGCAGCCTGGCTGCATGGATCTTGGCTTCCTGGATCAGGCAAGCATAGGCCGCAGCATCCACCGAGCTTTTCGGGGATGCCTGAGGCAAAGGCGGAAATGAATGAATAATACATATGATTACACTCTTCTCGAGCTAGGCGTACTCATGGTTCGTATGAACCAGAATGATGTTGATGATGATGAAAACGAAAATGAGATGGAATTCGTGGTGCCAGCTAGCATACAAATCAAGACAAGATGAGATGATCCGTAAAGGTGTGGGTCCTGCCCTCGCTGTCTGATACACACGGAATCACGCAGCACGAAATGAGATGAAAATGAAGATGAGGGTCCGGTCAGCTGCCCAGGTACGTTTTCCTGGAGTGTAGGCGAGAGCTTCGTTGGACGGAGCTCCCTACACCCCCTCCGTCCCCCTGCACGGGGCGTGACCCCTTTTTAATTAAGTTCATGAACGAGTGCGAAAACTCTACCCTTTTCCAGTTAGACCTTGCAGCCGGACAGAGGCACATGCCGCACTCATTTCATCTTGTTTTGATTTGTATGCGTTGTCTTTGGGGGTTGGCACCCAAAACTCCATCTCATCTTCGTTTTCATCATCATCAACATCATTCTGTTTCATGCCAACCATGAGTACACCTAGCTCACCAAGAGCGTACTGACAACATTGGAGGCAGTCATCGACAAGGGGCATTGCCCCCGCAGGGGCCTTTTCTCTCTCGCTCTCTCTCTCTCCCCTTCAACCCCTTTCCGCTATAAGGTATTCAGGCATCCGACGCGAGGCTCAAGGTACCTTCTCTTGGCTTTAAGAGACCCCTCTCAACATCTGTAAACGTATGGGTCCTGCCCTCGCTGTCTGATACGCACGGCATCACACAGCACGAAATGAGATGAAAATGAGGATGAGTGTCCGTCAGCTGCCCAAGCGCAGGCCAAAGCAGATCCTCCGTCCCCCCTGCAAGATGAAAACGAAAGGTAACAGGCGTGACCCCGTTTAAAGTTCATGAACGAGAAGCATACACACACGCTCTGCTCCCGTTACAGCGTATGGAGGACACGGAAGCAAACCTTCACAGATTTATTTGCTGTAAAAACAGTTTTTAAGTTCATCGCTTTGTGTGTACCAGAAAACGTTATGAGCTTCATAAGCTCTTGAAGCCTTTCGGTGGTCTGCAAACTGGAAACCTGCAGAACACTATGACTGTGTAAAGCTTGTAAGCTTTATGGAAAGTCAGGCGGGAGAGAGAAACAGAGAGAGAGGCAGAAGAGGGAGGCAGAGAGAGGCAGAGCGAGGATAACGTACAGGGAGAGGGAGAGTGACGGCAAACACGCGGAAAGAAAGTCATGAAGGCAAGGAAGGAAGAGATATTGTGATCGCGGGTGTTGTGCTTTCGCTGAGCTCGCCGTTCTCAGGTCCTAGGTGTACTAGGTGTACTAGGAACAGGAGAAGAGAAAATGAAGGCGAGAAGCGAAAGCCAGAAAGACAAAGCGGAGAATTCACCTTTGTAACCCCTGTGTCCTCCTTCTCTCCTCCATTTTGTTCTCTTCTCTTTCCTTAGTCTTCGCAAAAGGCCGCGGGAAGGAGGGGAGGAAGGGAAGAGGACAGGGACGGGCGAGAGGGAACGAGAAGGCACAACAAGAGCAGAGCGAGAGAGAGGGAGTGCGAAAGTACACTAGTCCAGAATGCGCACCAAACTACCCTAAAGTAATTCCGTGCACAAGCTCACACGACTTAGACCAAAGTAACCCTGAAGTTCAGCAGCGCCTTTTCTCGTAGGGCAAAGTGGTCTTGAGCCAACGACGGTTGGCAAAGTCTGGGGGAGAAAGGGAGGTGTTATTTTCACACGCCTCCTCGAGATTAAAGTTAACTACTTTATTCTCGCAAAGTACAATAACACATAAAAGTGTACATGTACATGTGTGAGCTCACGGCCAAAGTTTTGCAAAGCAGCTGCTCGGAGAAAGTTGCAACGAGGTCTCCTATCTACAACCTCAAAAGTTGACTGGTAAAAGTAAGCGTTCGTAGTGCTCGTGGTGCAAAGTGTCGTGACTGCGCACGGCACATCAAAGTGCAGCGTGGCCCAAAAGTGGTTGGCCCATCTAAGTGCAGCAACCAAAGTGGCACCAAGCGTCAAAAGACGCCGAAAAGTGTGCTGTTGGCCCAACCTCAAAAGGCGAAAAGTGGCCTTCAAAGCCTCGCAGGGCGCGTCAAAGTTGACGGCGTAGCGCCAGCGAGGGGCACCCAGCCTTCGGGCATATCCTCACAAAGTTGGTACACCTCTGGGAGGATCGGCAGGTGCATCAGTCGAAAGTGACGACACTGCACACCATATGTACCATCAAAGTAGCGATTGAGATCGCCGACCAAAGTGTACGGTGCCTGGCCAAAGTGTCTCACCACGCAAAAAGTCAGAAAAGTAGGCTGCATTGGAATCTGCAAAGTCGCGACTTTCACCAGAAAGTCCACGTACCTCCTGTTCCAAATCCTAGCCTGTCCACTTCCAAAGTTGACTGCCAACCAATGTTGAGTTGGTCGGAAGCCAAACGTAGCGATTTCTTCATTGGCAGCAAAAGGAAAAGTCACTCCCTGCATCTGAGAAATCGACAGCTGGAAAGTGTAGAAAAGATAAGCCGACCGTGGGCTGAAGGAAATGTTCAGGCAATTCTCCAAAGTACCCACCACATCCTGAAAGTGAACTGTAAAAGTTCCACTCTGGCGGGCAGCGGTCAAGGCTCTATCCAAAACGCTCATTGGCAAAGTAAGATATAACATGAAGGGCGACCATGCCGAAGGATCGCCTGGCAAAGTGCTCCCCGGACTCACATGGAATACCCAGAAAAGTTGACTGCGCATCAACATGTAAAGTTCGGGTGCCGTCATGCTTGGCGACACCGGGCTCAACCCAGGGAAAAGTATCGACTTTCCCAGGACAAAGTTGTTGTCAAAAGTTGTCCCAGGGCGAAACAACTGCTCCATCTGGCGGCCACCAAAAAGCATCTCAAGCATAAGCTGCAAAGTGCCCCAAAAGCCAAAGTTCGAAAAGTCAGGGACAAAAGTCCCCTGACCAAAACCATGGCCAGGCCGTGGCCGCTCAATCGATGGCGGCAAAGTGGCAGGCGGCCTCAAAGTCTTTGGCGCCATCGCCGCAGAAAGTTCCACAGCAGCACCGGCCAAATGTGCAGGTCCGGCACTTCTTGATTGATAAAGCGCCTCAAATAGAAAAGTGCGTAAGCTGCGTACGCGTCAAAGAGCAATTGCAGAAAGTGCCTCGCTCCTCCAAGCCAGGGTTGCTCCACAACTCCAGACAGGGACAAAAGAAAAGTACTGAAAAACGCAGTGAACTGTAAGTTCGTCCAGAAGGGCAGCTCAGACCTAAAAGGTTGCAAAGGAACAGATAACCGATAAAGTAACCTGATCCAAAAGTGCTGGTCCGCGATCTCCCTTCGGAGAAAAGTCTCCGACTCAGCCAGAGTTTCCAGATCACCTGGTTCCAGAAAAGTTGTTTGCCTCGCACGGGCAATGTCAGCGAGCAGCCGGCGGTCAAAGTTGACCGTTTCCAAAAGGTCCTCCAGTGAGGCCCGAAGTGACCAAAGTCGGGTCACAAAAAGCTTCAGGAATTCCCAAAGGCGGAACCACAAAGTTCGGTTCCTGTACCAGCGTGCCACCGAAAGTACCGTCACACGGCAAGATCTCAGCAAAGTCACCACCTCTGTGGCATCCATGCCGGCTCCATCCGTTAGGCAAAGTCGAAGTGAAACGGGCCACGCAGAGCGAAAGTGGCGACGAAAAGGCGCAAAGTTAAAACCAAAACCCACGACAAAACCCGAACACCCTGAACGGGAAAGTCAAGTGAGCTTACATATGTACATTAAAAGTGGTGCCGTAGCACCTCAAAACCATCATCGGAAAAGTCATCCACCATCAAGGTTTCACGGTAAAAGTTTCTTCCTTTTCGGAACGGAGAAAACGGAAAACAGAAAGGTCACCTTCAAAGTTGGTTCCGGAAAACTGAAAGTTCCTAAATCGAGCGAAAGTCGAAGACATGTCGAGACTGCACAAGCAAGCAAAAGTACATGTCCGCAAAAGTACATGTCCGCACAAGCATGAAAAGTACATGTCCGCAAGAACGTGATTCTCTCAGCTCTCAAAGTCTTCTTCTCTCTCATCTGGGTTCTTCTGGGGAAGATGATGAGTGGCAAAGTCCAACCCGAGATGGGGTGGCTAAACCTCAAACCCGAAAGTAGGAAGATGGCGGTGCAAAGTATCCTTCGCGATGTACTTCGTAAGGATATCTGCTGGGTTCAAAGTACCAAGAACTTTCTTAATCCTAACCATACCAGAAGCAACAAGTTCTTGCACATAAAGATATCGTAACTCTACGTGCTTCGTCTTGCGGCTGGCGCCGAAACGTGAGGCAATACTTTTGCCAACGTTGCTGTCTGTAAAAACACAAAGGTTAGCCTTCTGAAAGATCTTGCTCTCTTCCACCAAAGACCTCACAAAAAGAGCGTCAGCAGTACCAGAGCCTATAGCGTAAAGTTCTGCCTCTCCACTCGAGAGGGCCACAGTGGCCTGGGTCCTGCTGTGCGAAAGTATATTCGCCCCGAGCACAAAGAGGGAAACTCCTGAAGTGGAGCGTCTGGTGTCGTGGCATCCTGCCCAATCGCTGTCAACAAAAATGTTGATGTCTATTGCTTTGTGCTGCGGTGAAAGTGAGAGGGTTGGTTGCAGTTTCTGCTCAAAGTGCTTTGTTCCTGCCAGGTACTTCAAAAGATGCTTGACCTTTGCTTCGTGTTCTGTGGTCGGTGCAGAAAGTCCTCGGCTCAACTCCTTGACAGCATACATGATGTCAGGGCGCACGCTGGAAAGCCACAAAAGTTGGCCCACAGCGCGCCGGTAGCGCTTGTGATCCTCAGGGTCCAAAGGTTCACAGTCGAGCTGCTTCCTCAAAGCATCCGTTCCTGGCGCAAGTGCCTGCCGGCACTGTTTCAAACCGTAAAGC